ACGTGGTTCATGTAAGCCCCAATAGTTCCAAAACATACGCTGGCTGTCATGTTCTTCTATGGGACAGACAGCAGTGATTGTATTATTAAACGGTAAATATAAAATAAAACACACACCCAAGTACTTTTTAAGCTGTTATTGCATTTTGTTAATGTCCGTTTTGCATTTGGAGAGGCAGGGTGACAACTTAGATAAGTTTAAGGCTATATTTTTGGAGGGAAAATCTTAGTGTTCATGTTCGCATGGGTAGTAGCACTGGCTTTAGCGGCTCTAACTTAACTTTTCCATGTCATTCATCTGATGATGGACGTCTCATGATAATTATTTTAGCACAACTGGGCTGTATTAGGCTATTGATTCCCGTGATCTTGCTTATAAATTCCGATTCAGCCATTAGCCTACCTTCGTGATCACGCAAAGAGGTCTGCAGTGACGGTCCGTTCAGAATTCCAACCAACATAAAATATAAATAATTACGCTGTGCATGTACAAATGAATGATTTAGGAGGGAAATAGATTGCTCCCATAACGTAGAAAGCAACGACTATATTTACAGCAATGTTCGGTTAATATTAACTTCATAAAATGAAACCGGAGAGATAGTTAATGAGTGAATTAACTATGTTCCTAAATACGATCCATAACTGTTAACGGGATTAATTTCAGTATGGCTAATATACCCCTTCATCCTACCCTAATCCTAAACCATTCATCAGAAAACACACATGTATACGATCATATACTGTGTACAGTACACATGTTTCAATCACACATAACTAACCCTAACCCATACATACACACATGAATGCATATATTATGGCTATAACACAAACACATATATGCATAACCCTAACCCATTTAAATAAATGAATTGTGTGTGTGTGTATATATATACACACACACACACACGCACACACACACACACACACACACACACACACACACACACACACACACACACACACACACGCACACAATTATATATAGTATATATATATATATGTATACTGGCCCTTCTCAAAATTAGCATATTGTGATAAAGTTCATCATTTTCCATAATGTAATGATAAAAATTAAACTTTCATATATTTTAGATTCATTGCACACCAACTGAAATATGTCAGGTCTTTTATTGTTTTAATATTGATGATTTTGGCATACAGCTCATGAAAACCCAAAATTCCTGTCTCCAAAAATTAGCATATCATGAAAAGGGTCTCTAAACGAGCTATTAACCTAATCATCTGAATCAACTAATTAACTCTAAACACCTGCAAAAGATTCCTGAGGCTTTTAAAAACTCCCAGCCTGTTTCATTACTCAAAACCGCAATCATGGGTAAGACTGCCGACCTGACTGCTGTCCAGAAGGCCATCATTGACACCCTCAAGCAAGAGGGTAAGACAGAAAGAAATTTCTGAACAAATAGGCTGTTCCCAGAGTGCTGTATCAAGGCACCTCAGGGGGAAGTCTGTGGGAAGGAAAAAGTGTGGCAAAAAACACTGCACAACGAGAAGAGGTGACCGGACCCTGAGGAAGATTGTGGAGAAGGACATATTCCAGACCTTGGGGGACCTGCGGAAGCAGTGGACTGAGTCTGGAGTAGAAACATCCAGAGCCACCGTGCACAGGCGTGTGCAGGAAATGGGCTACAGGTGCCGCATTCCCCAGGTCAAGCCACTTTTGAATCAGAAACAACGGCAGAAGCGCCTGACCAGGGCTACAGAGAAGCAGCACTGGACTGTTGCTCAGTTTTGCATGTCATTCGGAAATCAAGGTGCCAGAGTCTGGAGGAAGACTGGGGAGAAGGAAATGCCAAAATGCCTGAAGTCCAGTGTCAAGTACCCACAGTCAGTGATGGTCTGGGGTGCCATGTCAGCTGCTGGTGTTGGTCCACTGTGTTTTATCAAGGGCAGGGTCAATGCAGCTAGCTATCAGGAGATTTTGGAGCACTTCATGCTTCCATCTGCTGAAAAGCTTTATGGAGATGAAGATTTCATTTTTCAGCACGACCTGGCACTTGCTCACAGTGCCAAAACCACTGGTAAATGGTTTACTGACCATGGTATTACTGTGCTCAATTGGCCTGCCAACTCTCCTGACCTGAACCCCATAGAGAATCTGTGGGATATTGTGAAGAGAAAGTTGAGAGACGCAAGACCCAACACTCTGGATGAGCTTAAGGCCGCTATCGAAGCATCCTGGGCCTCCATAACACCTCAGCAGTGCCACAGGCTGATCGCCTCCATGCCACGCCGCATTGAAGCAGTCATTTCTGCAAAAGGATTCCCGACCAAGTATTGACTATTGAGTGCATAACTGAACATAATTATTTGAAGGTTGACTTTTTTTTGGTATTAAAAACAGTTCTTTTATTGGTCGGATGAAATATGCTAATTTTTTTAGACAGGAATTTTGGGTTTTCATGAGCTGTATGCCAAAATCATCAGTATTAAAACAATAAAAGACCTGAAATATTTCAGTTGGTGTGCAATGAATCTAAAATATACGAAAGTTTAATTTTTATCATTACATAATGGAAAATAATGAACTTTATCACAATATGCTAATTTTTTTAGAAGGACCTGTATATATATTAATATTATGTACATCAGGTTACCGTAAGTTAGCTAATGTTAGTGTTGGTCACGTTGGTCACGTAAGTTATAATTAACCTATTATTACGGTGGCCGAGAGAGCTCAACACGCTGCAACAGAAGAAAACACATACAAATAGAAAAAAACGCATGCAAATAGAAAAAAACGTGTGCAAATAGAAAAAAACACATGCAAATAAAAAAAACACCCGCAAATAAAGAAAACATCTTCATCAGTTTCACAACACACGTATGCTCCAAATACTCACAACACCACCAAATACAGAAACGCGCTGCAAAAGCTCACAACACAAATACATAAACGCGCTGCAAATAACACGGACCACAACGGAAATGTTTCCAGGGGAACCAAATAAGTGACGAACCCGGCTGGGACGTGCTGGCATAGATATCCATAAATCTATGCGTGCTGGTGCTTACAGCTTAAAATTCTACTTTATTTATTTATTTGTGCAAAGCATACAGAGATTAATTTTTTTTATTACATACAACTTGTATACAATGTACAAAATGTATTAACAATATGTTCAATGTCATCAGAATACAATGAATTGGAAACTAAAATAAATAAATAAAAAAGATAAAGAAGAAAAACATGAAGGAAAGATATTTATCTATACATCAGTTACACTGTACAAATTGTTTCATGTTATGTTTACATTTTCATAAATAAAAGTTTCGTAAGAAATGTTAGGTAATGTAGGGTCCAAAATGTTAAAGTTAAGACACACAGATATATAACGCATATTTAAAAAAAAAAGTAAAAATACAAATGTATTTGCAACCGTTATGTTAACAGCATTATATTTCTGTCGTAAGACCAGCTCTTCAGCTGATGGACGCCGTGCTGCGTTGTCATGGGAACATACCAGGTGAAAATAATGAGGAATTACGTTGTCTTTAGTTGCTCCTTCATCAAGTGCGTTCCACACGGCTGCCTAACAGCACACTAGAGCCCTGCTCACTCCAAAGGCCCACTTTAAGGGCTCTGCCGTCTGCCCTTCGAAGGAAGTAGGGCACAGAGACGTTCACGAGCAGTAAGCACGTCCCAGCCGGGTTCGTCACTTATTTGGTTCCCCTGGAAACATTTCCGTTGTGGTCTGTGTTATTTGCAGCGTGTTTATGTATTTGGTTGTGTTGTGAACTTTTGCAGCGCGTTTCTGGATTTGGAGCACACATGTGTTGTGAAACTGATGCAAGATGTTTTGTTTAATTTGCAGGTGTTTTTTTCTATTTGCACGCGTTTTTTTCTATTTGCATGTGTTTTTTTCTATTTGCATGTGTTTTTTTCTATTTGCACGCGTTTTTTTCTATTTCCATGTGTTTGCTTTAGTTGCAGCGCGTTGAGCAGTCTCGGCCACCGTATATTATCTTCCAATAAACATTTACTAAAACTGACTACATAAAATATAACTACTGACTAGATTCACGAGAGGTCGGCTAATGTGTGTAAAAGTAAAAAAAATACAGTAATTTCATTAATTTACCAGCGAGCGTACTTTGGAAGCACTGAAAATGAATGGGGATCAATGCTGGAACTATCAGTAGCCATGTTTCCATCCACTTGCCATTCGAATTATCTGATGTTCGGTAAAAAACCTCATGCGAATAAAGCTGGTGAAAGTGTGTTTCCATCAAACGGCTTTAAAGCGGATAAAAACCTGTGCGTAATGACGTCACATGCTGTTTTGCGATCAAATTGGTATATCGAATTGATTTGAGAAATGTTAAGGTGTTTCCATTCATTTTCTCACCGAATTGCACAACATTCAAGCCAACATTTGCGAACAAAGTTTTACTAGGCAAAATGGATTGCACCATGATAACATTTCCATCCGCGTTTATCGCATAAGCCGTATATCGATCAAGATAAAATTCGATGAGACCGATGGTATTTTACTTCCGCATTCCTAAGTTCCTATGGCGGTCTATGGGAGTGTCGCAACTCTGTTTTTCAACGGCTCTGGTGTAATGGAGACAAGCTAGTAAGAGCTGTGCGTGTAAACCTCACTGATCAGAACTGCAAAACATTTAGTGACTAACAATCTCTCCCTTACAAACACACCTCTTCACGCCAATAGTTTATGAATAAAAAAATACAAAATTAATCTGCTTGTAATAGGTCTAAAATAAGAAATAAAGTGTGGTAAGTTTATTTCAGTTTTTTTTTTTTTTTTTTTTACAAATGAATAATAAAAAACACAGATTAAACAAAATAAGTGTACATTTTTATAATTTTATAAATAAAAACAAAGCAGTAGCCTTTAGAGGATATGCTAATAAATGTGATCTGAGCCTTGCCATGTGCAATCATCACTGTCACAATAATCATTATCAATCAACAGTTATAACAATATATATATATAAAAAAATATATTTTACCTGTTTTGAAGGTCAGAAGAAACAGAAATAATAGAAGTAGATTATCTACTGCCATTGTAACAAACCAAAGATATCAAATGAATAGTGGCTTCCTATGCGTTAAAGCGGAAACATGAAGCTTGCAGAATGAAAGCAAGTTCCTCTTCCGCCTCAAAGTCAGGCGTGTCGCTAAGCTGGAGGAACAAACACTGTGTGCAGAGCATTGGGGGCCGAGTTCTACAAGGGCCCAGAAAACCTAGCGATGCCCCCATGAGGAAAACAGCTTATAAGTCATTCTAAATGATGTGTTTTTGAAAATGTAAATATGCAGAAGGTTTCGGTTTTGAGTGAGGTTGGGGGTAGAATATACAGTTCGTACTGAAAAAAAATAAAAGTCACTGCAAAGTCCCGTATAAAATACGACAACGTTTTTGTGTTTTTAATAGTGTTTAACAAAAACCGAATGTAGCGGGGGGCCGCCTTAGCGGAGAGGCTCTCTATGACTACCTCTACATATGCACGACTACGCCACCCTGTTTAACAGGGAAATATTATTACTCATGAATTTAAAGCTACACTGTGTGATATTTAGCACCATCTATTGGTGAAAAGGTATATGACCATCCGGTGAATATTAGTTTCTGTTCCTCTCAATTCCGATTTCGTTTTAACTCCTACGGTGGCCAATGTAGTCCAAGATTAACATGGCTTCCAGTTCGACCTCGTCCATGAGCTTGAATTAACGGTATGTCCCTCTTTGGCTAATGTACTTTCAAGATGGAGGGGCAACATGGCGACCGACATAGGAACCCCTCACCCGTATGTATTTTTAATTGCATATTATACACTCACGAGATTACTTTATTACTTGAACGAAGTAAATATACATTAAAGAGCACATATATTTTTGAAAGAACTAAGTGTTTTTAGCAAAGAATAAACTAAAAAAGTTACACAGTGTAGCTGTAATAACCCACAAAAAGACACACAGGAACGTTGTTATCGAGGAATGGCCAGAGACGTGGATACAAAAATACAAAAGATATTATAGTCGACAACAATCTTAGGACAGCATGAATAGACTGGGTCATCGTGCAACACTCAAGAAGTCAAGGAGGAAGCCGAGGCTTAACAATGGCAGGTACACTACTGTAGTGAGCACAAGGCCCCTATAAATCACTCTTACCACCCTGTGCACATGCAGGCATCACACACACTCCAATACGGTCAAGCATGAACACACAGCACTCAGTGACAAAACCTCCACCACAGCACGTGAGGGCCTACTAGCGGCCTGCCTTGAAGCCTCGGCTCCTGTAATGAGAGCAGAAATTACTGCACTGGTCTCAACATACAACAAGGACACTTAACCACAAAGAACACAAATAATAAACATTTAAATCTACAAACCAGAACATTCATAAATAAATACACAGAATATAAATAATATATATATATATATATATATATATATATATATATATATATATATATCAAATTGTGTGATTTGCTGTTTATGTGTATATATATATATATATTATATACACATAAACAGCAAATCACACAATTTGAAAGACTAGTTGGAGAAACAACCCAGCGATCACCAAGCCGAGTGCTGTAGAGCAGGCGTCACACAAGCGGCATAAATCGTGCGCACGTACAAAACAGAAGGAATCCGAGTGTATAAAGCAGCAGCGTCAAACAGCGCTGCCCACAGGTGTCACTGACCAGTCTATTCCTCCTTCATTTCATAAGTCGCACGTCCACGTCAAGCGCACACAAGACCGCACCATGAGGAACGCCAAAGGATTTACCCTCAAGCTCAAAGCATCACCAGACGCAGGACCACGCAAGAGGAACGCCAAAGGGGAGTAGCAGCTGCCAACAGCCCACAGCCGCGATTTATCCTCAAAGCTCCAAGCGAGAACGGATGAAGAACCAGGAGGGGCGGTGCCCGGGCAATGACGCTCCACGCAGACGACACCCACACGTAAACAGTGACTCAAAACCCTTTTTATATAGTCCCGCGTCATTATGATTGAACTCACGCCCGAACGCATTAGGTTAATTGGACGCTGCAGTACGTCCCAGAATAGACTGGTCAGTGACACCTGCGGGGCAGCGCTGTTTGACGCTTCTGCTTTATAAATGTTTATTATTTGTGTTCTTTGTGGTTAAGTGTCCTTGTTGTATGTTGAGACCAGTGCAGTAATTTCTGCTCTCATTACAGGAGCCGAGGCTTCAAGGCAGGCCGCTAGTAGGCCCTCACGTGCTGTGGTGGAGGTTTTGTCACTGAGTGCTGTGTGTTCATGCTTGACCGTATTGGAGTGTGTGTGATGCCTGCATGTGCACAGGGTGGTAAGAGTGATTTATAGGGGCCTTGTGCTCACTACAGTAGTGTATCTGCCATTGTTAAGCCTCGGCTTCCTCCTTGACTTCTTGAGTGTTGCACGATGACCCAGTCTATTCATGCTGTCCTAAGATTGTTGTTGACTATAATAAAATCTTTTGTATTTTTGTATCCACGTCTCTGGCCCTTCCTCGATAACAACGTTCCTGTGTGTCCTTTTTGTGGGTTATTAAATTCATGAGTATTAATATTTCCCTGTTAAACAGGGTGGCGTAGTCGTGCATATGTTGAGGTAGTCATAGAGAGCCTCTCCGCTAAGGCGGCCCCCCCGCTACACTTACAAGTTAGACCACTTCCTTCCTTTCTCATGGCTACAGCGTTGCAATAAAGCACTTGTGAATTCAGCCAAATTACATTTTCTGATACATTTTTACACGTTTAGCAGCACATCCTGCTACTTGCATCAAGATGTATATAGTGTAGAAACAGAAGTTACAGCAGGCTGGAAATAGTGAGATGTGCAACACGAAATAACTACATGTTCTGTGCAGGAAACATGAGCAGTAAAAAAAGAAGCAAACTTTCCGGTGCTCAGTCAGCTGAAGCTTCAGCAAAAAACACTTCCTACTCAGCAGTGTGAGTGAACATTATTGCACTAATGAAACAAAAATTGATCAGAATGTATAAAGGATGAGAAATGGTAATATCAGCAACCTTATTTAGATATGAACAGAAACAGAAAGTAACACTGGGAAAAAACACATGTGACATGCCATGGTCATATTGCCGACAGCATGGAAAGATTCACACACTTAAGCCACACAAAATAACAAAATGTCAAACCAAGCAGCAAACTGTATGCAAGCAAACGATGCTAGATGTTTTCTCAGAACTTACTTTAAATCTCTGGGCGTTTTTTGTGCTGTGACTTCTGTCAGGTCATTTGGTGGTTTTTAATGGGTGCCCTCACTTCCCACTATACGATATAGCGTTTCATAACCACAACAAAGTGGCAAAACATGTTGTCTTGTAATTTGAGCAATATATTTACATTTATGCATTTGGCAGAAGCTTTTATCTGAAAATGTACTAATAATACTTAAATTGTATTGAAGGTATACTGTACATTTGTATAAGATTATGCATTCAATCGAACCTATGACCTCTGAGCTATAGGAATGCTGTGTATCAATTTTATGAATAATGAAAAAAATTGAAAAGGTTTTGCTTGAAGTGATAATTAACAGTTCCATCTTTCTTTTAAAAACCTGTCCCTTGATATAGATATATATTTTAATCTAATGCAGTGACATCAAGTGTGACTTAACAGTTACTTTAAGTAAGGCTGACGTGTATCAAGCGTAGATCATCTCATGTGTTCGGATACATTGTTTTAACATTTGGTCAGATACATTGTTTATGTATTTTACATTGGTTTCATTCTGTAGCTGATGCTTCAAAACTGATCTCAGTTCATTTGCAAAATTGTGTTTGTTGTGGCCCTGTTTCCATCTGTATGTAGCACTGACCACTTGCAGTGTAATAGATAAAAACGAATCTTAATAGCTAAACAAGGCCAAATGGTCTTTAATATATTTAAAGATAACCTACTGCAATGCCTCCATCTGGTGGCCAACTACAGCCATTTTGTCATACTGAAATGAGGAATATAGTAATAGGTTAGGTATAAGGACACACAATTGACATTGCAGTTTTTCTCGATTGCTTAAACACATTTCTTGAAACTATGCCTCGTATTCTCAAAACAGTAAATCCATAACGTCTCACCCAATTCCCCAAACATCTTATTTTCAGGTCAAAATGAAGCTCTATACACTCACAGCCATTCACTCTTGCTGGAAAACCAAACTTTGCCCTCAGACATCACACACAAGTGTATGATACCACAGTGTCAAAAAGAAAAAGAAATCCTCTCTGTGACAAACAGAATGGACAATAAAGTTAATATTCTAACCATTCTTCAAGCACATTCTCTGACATAACATTCACTGCATGTACAACTGCCCCATAACCTATAACCAAAATTACATATTACTTGACAGTTATTTAATAGTCATATGCCTCGACAAGTAAAGCCATAACATAATGATATATTTGCAAATCATTAGCTAAGGATTAATTAAATCAGACAACTGAAAGTTGAAGTACATAGCTTTTACTCATTGTGGTAATAACACATTAATTTACACTATTAGGTAATCAATGATTGCACATTTAATTTATAGCAATTCATATATTTCTTAATCTATTAATTATATAGACTCTTTATAGTTGCGGATGCAGTAATCATTAATAAATGCAGTTCTTCATGAGTCATACCTTAACACATGATTATCTATGCATAGTGCACCCGTATTGTAAAGTGTTACAGAGAAAAGACGTAGGCTATTAAATGTGTGAGTCCATCAGGGTCATGTGTATCACAGTATTCTACAGAATTAAAATTGACCAAAAGAGGGAAAAAAAACTTACTTTTCAATTACTATTTTAGCACAAAAATCAAACTGATGAACAGAGAACAGTTTTTCATAGAAAATATGTATGAATCAACATGGATGTACCTTTTTTACACTTGCAATAGAGAAAGACTATAATGCAATTCCCCCAAAAAGACACACTGCCCCCAAAATATATGTCCATAACTGGAAGGGTGGCTCAGTCTTGATGTCACTTGAGTTGTTTTCTGAAAAGTGAGACACATGTCATTAAGAACTGCAGTTGTCAGGTCATGTATTCTGAGGTCACTCAGTAATGCAGCAGTTAGACTATTAACCAAACAGAGACATTTGATTTGAGAGATGTTCATTTGCAAATGTATTATTTGTGTGTTTGGCCAGATACCTTTATTATTGACACAGAGCGGTGTAATGTTTATTCTGTCTTTTTTCCAGCTAACTGGGTTGCTATGGTTACAGATGATGGATTCCTCATTGCAGTTCAGGTTTAGAGTGTTGATTTGTGATGTCACTTCCTGTGCAATACATCTGTTGTTCTGATAGCTAGAGTTTATCATGAGGTCATGAGCTCTGCATGTGAAGATTACAGTACAGGAGTCACTGCTGGACCAGTTTGAGTTTACAGTCAGAACAGGAGCCTCCACAGCGTCTAAAACACATTTATTTTTTTACAAGTTCATACATCACTCTATTGTAAGCTTTCCAATTTCAATAGCTGGTTACAGCATGTGACTCACGCCAACATACATGAGTCTTATGATCTGAAATGGCAAGCAAAATCACACTCACCTATAACAGATACTCTGTATGTAGCAATATTGTTCTCTGAATCTCCACTTGCTATTGCTGTATAGAGTCCACTGTCTGTCTTCTGCATGTTCTTCAGTGTGAGAGAGAAGGTTGTATCATTGAAATCCACTCTGTCTTTGTAGGAATTGAGAGGTTTTACGACTTTAGTTTCACTTATATATTTAACTACATTCTCTGATTTATCATTTCTCCAGGTTAAAAGATCAAACTCTGGTAGTTTCTGTGTCTGTATATCCAGTTGAACAGAATCTCCCGTCTGCACAAACACAGAGATCTCAGCACTGAACCCTGAGGAGAGAGAAAGAGTTTCTGAGTACAGCTGGTGTATTCACTATAGGCCCATTGTACATATTTTTCTGAAATGGGCACGATCAAATTAATATGTTTGACATTTAATAAAACTAATAGTATAATACAATTTAAATACAGCTATATATCTGGAGATATTTGTAGCTGATTACATATAAACAATATAAGGAGGAAAATGTAGGCATGAACCCTGGTTTATACAGGTGTCATATTCATGAAAAATAAATAATATATCCATACTTGTTACATTTATTGCTACAATAAGGCTACTTATCAATAATTCGGTTATTAAAATCAGGTAACTGCTTGTTTTGTATAGTTTAGAGCCCATTGTTGTCTTTTTATCTAGAGAGCTTGTTTCATGCCTGTGTAATCTGATATTTAAAAAAGTAATTCCTTCGGCTCCCATTAGTGAAGTAGTTGGTTTGGTTGAGCTGACTACCTTTCCTAGCACACGGGTAAAAATAATAAAACATTACCCAGCAGCCTGAACCCAGCATTTGGATTAAAAAAAAATAGCTAAATAAATAAATAATACTATAAGGATTGACAAAATAAATTGTATAAAAATGTTATATAAAGTGGTAACATTTAGATATTCCAAAAAATGTACGTTTACCATATCCAAGCCATGCCCTGTGATCACTGTCACAATATTCATTAATGATCAATCAACATAATGAACGTGTTTAACTTTTTACCTGTTTTGAAGGTCAGAAGAAAAAGAAGAAATATGCGTAGGTAATATACTGCCATCTTCACAAAATGAAAAGATTAAAAACGGAACTGAAAATCACTGCTGCTGAGTCTCCCTATAACGGAAATAGAAGGTTCCTCAGAAGTCCTGTTTTAAACAGTGTAAGCACATTTTGACTTCTCATTTAATATTTCCATCTCATTCATATATGGTGCAACGTAAGTGTTGCACAGTGTTGGGTTTTGTCTTGTCTTGTCATGTTCAGCGGTTCCATGTCTGTCTATTAGTCATCCCAGGTGTTTCCCATTAACCACGCCCCCTTGTTATCCTGTCTAGCTCGTTTACCCCTGTATTTAAGCCCTGTGTTTCAGCCCTATCTCTTTGTGAGTTCTTGTTTGACTGTTTACATGTCTACAGCAGTTACATTGTCATTCGGTTGTCCTGAGTCCGTTCAAGTTTAGAATCTAATTAATAAAGTGTGCTGCAACTGGATCTTGCTTCAACCAACACACACCTCAACGTGACAGTAAGGGTGTGTCTGTGTGTGTTACTCAAGAGGTTTTTTTTCCAACTTTTAAAGACATCTAAAAGGTTGCAATCTGCACGACATTCATGTGGAGTCGGCTAACAAATGATTCTAGTTCTTTTCTCAGATCTAATTTCACTTTTTTTATTTCCATAATGCTAAAACAAAATCAGACATTCTGTAGCTGATGCTTCAAAGCAGTTGATCTCAAAGCAGATTGACAAAATTGACCGTGTTTCCACCTTATAGTAGCTACATTATTCTTTAATATATTTAAAGATACGGTAATGTCTGTGGCCAATTACAGCCATTTTGTCATACTGAATTATTGATCCATACTGTATGTATTTACGGGTATATATATATATATGTCACCCGACCTTCGTTTTCAACTTTTAAAGTCAGCTGACCCAGACACTTCCAATAAAAAAAAACGTTGTTAATGTACAATAACTAGGGGTGTAACGATATCCTCATGTCACGATTCGATACATATCACGATACTGAACTCACGATACGATATTATTGCGATACTCTAAGACATATGATAAAAGGTTAACAAAAAATGTACTGTTGATTAAAATGCTAAGTTTGATATTACATTGTGGGTTTAAATGAATAGGCCTGGACTTGGTGCTTGTAACCCAAGGACAATGGTGACACCAGAATAACAATATTCATGATTCTGAAGCTGAAGCTAAAAAAATACAGAATTATTGTAGACGAATATGTTTGCACTCCGTCACTGACTAGATATATTTAAAATAAATGTAAGCCACTTTTTCAGACATTTGGCATTATCAGGACCCACAAATATTCCCCCATTGCATTATTATACAATATAATCAACATTATATATATATAGTAGTGTAGCGACTGACCAAATCCTGTTTTCCTTTCACTACTGAACAAATATGAACACATATATGTTTAATTCACAAAACCTTGAATCATGTGATATGGTGCCCCAATGTCTGCCAGCAGGTCATTGATTAACTTGCGCAATCAAGAAACAGGTCCCCGTTGTTCTCAAATCCTTACACTGCTTGCAATTTGTGTTCAGTCACAAAGAATAAGAACTGATCCATTCAGGGTCTCAAGCTAGTTTCCCCCCCTCATCAATTATTATGTCTGATAAGTGGATTTACACACAAAACTACCCTTTGTCTTGAAGAAGACCATTTGCAAACTAAACCCTCACGTGGTATACACCACGGATGGACAGATGCTGACCATAAGGACAATCACACATGCCACACATACCCACACACAAACGTCCTTTGTGTGCAACTTAGGATAGAAATGTCCTTAATGTATATAACACAGAATTGTATCTGACCTTCCTGTATGCATGCATACAGGTCCTTCTCAAAAAATGAGCATATTGTGATAAAGTTCATTACTTTCCATAATGTAATGATAAAAATTAAACTTTCATATATTTTAGATTCATTGCACACCAACTGAAATATTTCAGGTCTTTTATTGTTTTAATACTGATGATTTTGGCATACAGCACATGAAAACCCAAAATTCCTGTCTCAAAAAATTAGCATATCATGAAAGGGGTCTCTAAACGAGCTATTAACCTAATCATCTGAATCAACTAATTAACTCTAAACACCTGCAAAAGATTCCTGAGGCTTTTAAAAACTCCCAGCATGTTTCATTACTCAAAACCGCAATCATGGGTAAGACTGCCGACCTGACTGCTGTCCAGAAGGCCATCATTGACACCCTCAAGCAAGAGGGTAAGACAGAAAGAAATTTCTGAACAAATAGGCTGTTCCCAGAGTGCTGTATCAAGGCACCTCAGTGGGAAGTCTGTGGGAAGGAAAAAGTGTGGCTAAAAACGCTGCAAAACGAGAAGAGGTGACCGGACCCTGAGGAAGATTGTGGAGAAGGACCGATTCCAGACCTTGGGGGACCTGCGGAAGCAGTGGACTGAGTCCATAGACTGTAAAAAATATGGACAAAGCGTCTGACGTCACCCATAGACTTTCTGAAGAACGGTTTTGAGGCTGTTTATGGGGGGTATGGGCGGTGCCATCTTGGAAAATCTTACGATATTTCAAATACAAATGTTCAGAAAGGATACAGAGGTGGTATGATGTGTTGTGTCAGATCATGGCCGAGACGTCAAATTTCAGGAATTCCACTCGGCGCAGCCCGTTATCAGCTGTCAATCACGCGCTTATTTGTCATACATTTTATATCTAATTACGATCTAAACTACCGAGTTAGAAAAAAATTCACCCCCCTCACAGTTGTCAGGCACTCGGGACCTATCCAAAAATACAATAAAAGTCCATGGGACCAACATGTAAACATATAAATTTATGCTGTGAAAACGGACATTTTAACATGTGGTCTATGGATATTTGCTCCCTTTTGGGACCTCCCTCTAGCGTATTTTCGATGTATTGCAGTTTTTCGCACTTCCGGGTAGGCTTCATTTTTCAGATTAGAATGTTGCCGCTTGACTGAGTCAAGGTCAAGCCACTTTTAAACCAGAAACAGCGGCAGAGGCGCCTGACCTGGGCTACAGAGAAGCAGCACTGGACTGTTGCTCAGTTTTGCATGTCATTCGGAAATCAAGGTGCCAGAGTCTGGAGGAAGACTGGGGAGAAGGAAATGCCAAAATGCCTGAAGTCCAGTGTCAAGTACCCACAGTCCGTGATGGTCTGGGGCAGGGCCGGAGTGGGACTAATTTTCAGCCCTGGAGTTTCATACCTTAGGCCGGCCCACTTTAGTTCCCGACAGACTATATTAAAATAATGTAATTAAACCCTCAGTATATAAGTCTGCAATAGTGCACTGTTCTGTACAGCCTTGTAATTCATTGTATTTTTCAAAAATATAATTTTCAATTTAGTGCAATAGCCGCGTTTTATAAATACAAAGGTCCCAAAAGTGATCTGGGTTCGGGGGCATATTATTTTTCCACTATCATTGGCAAAGAACATGTATATCTGTGTTAAATAGGAATCCATTGTAATAAAGTTATTCTCCTTCTGGGCACAGTATGCAATAGGCTTTTGCTCTTCCTGCTCTCCTCTCTCATCTCCATCTCCTTCTCTCATTCTTCTTCTCTCAGTCTCTTTATCTTTAGGTTACCTGTAAATCTCCCCTTCCCGAAGCTGAGCTTTGATTGGTACAGTCCTTGCAAACTGATTATTTATGTCGGTCGTTTAAAACTTCTATCGTAAAACAGCTGTTTAGTTTAGCCACTTGCATCTTATCTCGTGAAGCGTCGCGTCGGGATTCGCGCGCGTCCGAGGCTCGCGCTTCTGTGAACATAAATCCCGCTTGCTTTGATCGGTCATCTCAAACATTTTGCCATTGCCGACGAGCGGTGTTGAGTACTTCTGAAGCAGCTCAGATTATGAGGTTGGTTATCGTCACGATATGTGAATCATTGCAGCACCAAATTAGAGTATTAGGCAATTATTTCACAAAGTTCATTATACACTCAGAAAAATGACCGAGGTCCGGACCTCAGAGACCTCAATGGTGGGTACGGCCCTGAGGCTATTTTGCCGGTTGAGTTTCTAGAGATTTTTTATTATTCTGGCCTTTTCAGCGCCGCCTTTGCGCCTATTATCCATGTTTTGTATCTCTTATTTTTTGTTCGCACATCTCTAACAACTGACTTTTTTTTTGTGGGGCTGCGAGAAAATAATAAAAAAAATAGTGGGGCTGCGCTGTGACTGGAGCATTCAACCCAGTGCCATGACAACACCGGCCCTCAAACAGACCGGCACACCGGGAATTCTCCCGGTGCTCCCGATTAGCCAATCCGGGCCTGGTCTGGGGTTCCATGTCAGCTGCTGGTGTTGGTGCACTCTGTTTTATCAAGGGCAGGGTCAATGCAGCAAGCTATCAGGAGATTTTGAAGCACTTCATGCTTCCATCTGCTGAAAAGCTTTATGGAGATGAAGATTTCATTTTTCAGCACGACCTGGCACCTGCTTACAGTGCCAAAACCACTGGTAAATGGTTTACTGACCATGGTATTACTGTGCTCAATTGGCCTGCCAGCTCTCCTGACCTGAACCCCATAGAGCAGGGGTCTCAAACTCAACTTAACTGGGGGCCGCTGCAGGTAGAGTCTGGGTCAGGCGGGGCCGCATCAAGTATTCCACAAAAAAATAGTATTCAAGTATTCCAAAAAAGAAACACAACTGATCCAATCTTCTCAATCTTTATTATTAACGTTTCTTCTGAACTGTTCCTCTGAATTTGAACATTCCTTTCTGTACATGATTGGTCCTTCATGAGCTGTCCTTCTGACAGTTGAAGTTCATTTTACAAACTTTCTTTGTCTTTTCCTTATACACAACATATTTGTGATTCTTATATTTGCTCATGTCCTTTTTATTTTCAATATGATATTGAATGTTTTTTTGGAAGGCACATTTCCTTTATTTATAGTTAGAAAAACAATTGCTGCTTTTGAAATACAAATATTTGCAGTCATGTCTGCCCGTCTTATTGAGTTCTTTCTACACATGTATAGTGTCTCAGGCAAATTACTGACCTTGCACAAATCAAAGCAAACCTTCTTATCAACCTGTTGGACACATATTACAAGCTCAAAATGATTATTCTCA